ACTTAATATCAAAAATAAACACACATCATTCATCACTCCTTTTCCCATCACCCTCTCTAGGTCTATTAAAAAAGTTTATCATTTCTGGGTCAGTAGTAAAAGTTGATCCTACAGACCTAGGAGAATCAATACCAAGCCATGGTGAAAAAATTTTCCCTGAACCTGAACCAAATATCCCATAGCGAGACGAATAACTTGGAGAATCACAGGAACTAAATCCTACCGGTGGATGGGTCGGTTAAATATTATTATTTTTTGTGTTAACGTGATCTCATGTGCCTAATCCAAAACTCTGATTATCAGGAGACCCTCCACCAACAGTCCCTCTACCAACCGATCCTCTACCAACTAACCATCCACCAACAGACCCTCCACCAACAGATCTTCCACCAACAGACTCTCCATCGGTCGACCCACCACCAATAGATCCTCCACCACTAGTGCTGCTCATGACTCGTAGGTTGATAAGATCACAAGATTTTCCAAGTCTGTCCACACCTGCTAACCTCTGCAAATAGCAAATTTTATTTTCCTCACTCCGTAACTTCATAAATCTGTCACGAATATCTTCATCATTCATTAGCAATTTGTTTGCCTCCCACCAAATACGTTTATTGGCTTGATTGGTAAAGATTCTAGGACACCTAGTGAATCACCATACGTCGGCTTAGAGGACTAACGTAACCGCACCACATTTAGTAACTCACCACGAGATTCTTCCATACGTTGAAACCGTCTATCAACTTGTGCCTCAAAGTTAACTCTTCTCATATGAGTACGCCATGTCGAAGAATTTCGAGCATGAGCGGATGACGTACGAGTGAGGCATGGAGAATGTGGGGTTCTCGGTATAGTAGAACGACTAGGTGATCGAGATAGCTCTAGCAAATTATCGTCATCAACTCTTCGATTAGGATTCTCCGGTGGGAAGGAGGATGGACCATGTTCTTCTATTTCACTAGCCGGGACATCATTGTTGTACGCCTCTTCATTTTCTGATCGATGAAGATGAACTCCAAGCATGTAGGGTGAATATCGATCATCTTGCTCCACATCGTGTTCACCATGTATAATATCAAGTAAATCTTTGAACGGAAGGGGCTTATTTTGTAACACGGTTATGTATTTTCGATTTTTGTCACCGAAATTCCTATAAATAGATTTGATATATTAACATAATTACATGAAGTAATTAATATAATTAACAAAGTTGGAAAATTACTGCGCAACGATCCGCCCACCATGACGGTAACATATTGATTTGTCCAGTTTGTGGATGAACCGGCACACCAATACGGTTAACTAAAATGTTGTTGTAGTGCCACAATTTGTTGATACAATCAAGATGTCAAGACTGCATAAACGTATGATGCATGATAAATATTTTTGTTTATAGAAATTCCTAATTTTGGCAAAAAGTCTGTAGCAAATCCTTATCAAATCCGTATAAAATCCTTATCAAATCCTTATCAAATACTTATAAAAGTTGTACATAATGGTTACAAAAATTTGTTTGCATATATTTTATCCAAAAATGTCTGTAAAAAAGACTTATAAAATCTTTATAGAAATTCCTAATTTCGGCAAAAAGTCTGTAAAAAAATCTT